TGTATAATTTATGTTTTAACTTCTATTATATTAACTGGAAGAAATTTAAATTAAATCAAAAGAAATAACCAATATGAGTGCTTAGTATACCTGGCAACTGATGAATATTATCTATTGTAATTATTATATTGATACTCTGATAAAGAAAGTTTTTGCTAATTATAAATCAGTTTTCTAGAAATTATGCATAACTGAAGATACTTCAGTACAATACCAGTTATGTATTTGAATACATACATTTGTGAATTAATGAATACCTTTGATACATTTCCCAACTCTATTTTAATTCAAAGACTTGATATCAGTAGTCATAGCCAGAGTCCCTATAGTTTTCTCTGAGCCTGTTCTACCTTGTAAGATGCAACCCACACTAATATTGAAATTGTTTTTGGTTTTGTTTTTTACTTTGTGGATTACTATTTTGTGCATTTGAAGAAAATATAAGAATCCTGATATGCTAAGTCTCTGCTGTGAAGGAGCTTACTGTGGAGAAAAGCAAGCAGTATCTTACCATGAGATAGTGCTATGCTAATCATTAACCACTCAACCTTGGGGAGGTTGGTCAGGGGAGAGAGATTTCTTGAATGCTGGAGTCTCTAAACTGAGTCCTGAGGAACCTGTGCTATTAATAATTAGCCTAGTCAAAAGTGGTAGGTAGAGGAAGAAAAGCATATTGCTGGGGAACAGCATGTAAGAAGACCCTGAAACAGAGAAAGCATGGAAACATTCAAAGAGGGCATGTCAAGAGCTGAAGAGATAAAGACCCCTGTTAAACTTCACTTAAGGTGTGTTATCTTTGACCTGAGGTCCTGGGGCAAAATTAAACAATGAGTTACAAAATCAAATTTGAACCTTTTAAAGATCACTTAGTCTCAGTATGAAGCATGATTGGATGGCAAAGACCAGAGTCATGAGGATATCTAACTAATGTACTGGAAACCCTGCTAAGAAGAGACAGACAGACTTAAGAGAAATTAGATGTGAGAGATGAGGGAAAGAGAGGAACCTAGAATAATTCCCAGGTTTCTGACTTGGAAGCTGGAAGACAGACGTGCACAGGAAGAAAAGCAAATTGTAAGGATGATGTGAGTCAGAGATGACTATAGGATATCTAAGAGGAAATATAAACAGGCACTGGATACATGCAAAGAAGCTCAGGAAAGAAGTCTAGACTAAAATTATAGTGTTTAGGAATCTTCAATATAAAAGTGATAATGCCCAAATTTGAACAAGATAAGCCACCTCTCATGATTAAATTCCCAATGATAAAGTTTTAAAAATTAGAATCTTCTACTCTAGTAAGTTAAAAGCTGACAACAATACTTTACTCCCCACCCATTTCTTAATCTCAACCTGGAGAGTGTCTCTTAGCTGCTTATGTTTCTTTAATAGCTACCATCTAAAGTTTCTTTTACTGTAATGAGTGTAATTCCTGAGGACATCCAAGGCTGAATGAATACAAACCCAAGTTTCTCATATGCTCTACATTTAACAGTGTCCAAAGGATCAATAGGACACATAAAGTTATCACAGCACTAGCCCTTCTTTCACAAAGTTTAGAATCTTCACCCCTACAGCATCAAGCAAAATTACCAAGCATAAGTTATGTCCAGACCTACATTACTATTGCCTGCTAAAGACCATAGCATAGATTTTGAGTCATCTTGGAGAAGAAGGGTAAAAATAAAAGGCAAGAAAAAAGAATAAAATGTTGATTTCATCCTCATTAGAACTGATTGTAAATGCCAGGGATGTATTACATTGTGAATCCAAATATGTGAACTCCACTGGGCCCTCTAGGGAAGCAGAGAGGTCAGGGCAGATCAGGACTAAAAGTTGTTCTGTGTATTGGTCTATTGGCAAGACATCATTGACCTTGCCAGTCAAGAAAGGATAGTAATGGAAGCCAAATTATAGTGGATTGAGAAGAGAATGAGAAGTGAGGACTAGATGGTTAGTGTAGTGAGCTCTTTCATAAAGAACCTAAAATAAGAACTCAAGGAGAGAGGGGGCAAATAACTAGATGGTTGCACAGGGTCAAGAGAGGTTTGTTTGTTTGTTTTTGCTTTTTTTTAGGATGGGAAAAAATTGAAGGATACTTCATACTGGGGAAGAGTCAAGAAAGAGGAAGCAAGAAAAGATACAAGAGGAAATGGCAAGGTCCTGGAGGAGATGAGGAATGGAATTAGGAGCATCTTCTGAAACTAGTTGGAAAGATGCTGAATTGGTCAGGACTTTTCAGCTGCAAGTGTTGGAAACCCAACTCTAACTAGTTAAACAGAAAAGGAAAGTTACGGTTTCTTTAAGGGGTGAAGGTGGCTTTAGTTTAAGCTCAAATGATATCAATAGGTCTCTCTCTTCTCAGTCTCTCTTGCTCTCCCCTGGGTTAGCTTTATTCTCAGGCTAGCTGTTTCCAAGAGATGCCAAAGACGGCCAGAAGTGGCTCCAGGCTCACATTCTATCAGCTTAGGAACCTCAGCAGGCCAAGCACTCCTTCTTCCAATAGTACAGGCTTGGTTGAGCCAGAGTAGCATATCCAACCCCGTCGGCCCCACTGAAACCACCTGAACGCAAAGTGTGGAGGATGAGAATCCCCAAAGGAAAATCGAGGTGCAGCTACCAGAAGAAAGGACATGGATGCTAAGCAGGCAGAAATAGCAGGTGGAAGGAGGGCAGCAGAAGTAGAGAAAGTGACAGAGTTGTCTTAAAAGATAAATAGGAATTAACCAGGAGAGATGAGAAGAATCCAATATTGAACAATAGAGTTAGAGTAGAAGTTATCTTTATAAAAGAATTTTTATTGCACTTAGATTTGCTCCTCTTAAAAAAAAAAGGCAATTTCTTATATAAAATAGTTTTTATTACTAGAATTCCCTTATAATTTGGAGTCAAATAACAGTAAGAGAGGCTTTTTTTAAAAAAGAACTGAGTCTCAAATTTCCTCTGCTGAGAACTGATTTTTTTAAACTTTAGGTTGTATTTAAAGATCCCATCAGAAGATGTTCCAGTTTCCATCTTTCTCCTATCCAATAATTTCCATCTTTCTCCTTTCCGGTAATTCTTTGCCTTCTCATTTCTAAGCACTCTATTCATTCTCCCTATCTTAAACCCAAAGAACACCAAGACCCTCCAAAACAGTATTTCCATATAACCAAGTTTCTGGATCCAGTTGAGGCAAAGTTTTAGTCATTCCCAATCCCTAAGCTCTATCCTAAGGATTCTCTGTCTCTGACAACTCCACTTTCAAGAACAGTTTAATGTACATATGCTCCTCAACTTATAATGGGGTTACATCCAGATAAATCCATCATAACATTGAAAAATCATAAGTCAAATCATCATACGTCAGGGACAGTCAATAATTCACATGTGTATCTATTCCAAATGGATTGCCTTCAGTGGAAGGAAATAAGTTGTCTCTGACGTGATTACCCTAGGATTCTCTGGCCCATGGTGGTACGGGCCCACCACACCATTGTCCAGGCCTAGCCTCTTCCCCGCAGGTTGAGGAAGCCCATTTAAGTATTGTCTTCCAATCTGGACTGTTATAAGGGGCTTCCCTAAACCACTTGTCCTTCCCTCAGTTCAAGTCCTTGAAAAAACTTTTTCAGAACCCACAAAAGTTATTTGTGACTAATGCCAGTTAGGTTTGAACATTAGACTTCTCATTCATTAATTAAAGTTCTATATTTTATATATAATTTTAAGTGATATGGAGCTTTAAATGTCTATGTTATCAAGTGATAGGAGAACCTAAAGCTCCAGATTAATATTTGGACCATACAATTACTAACTTCAGTATTGAGGTAAAAATAATGTGGGTTCCTGACTTTTGCATGTAAACATACAACTATTCCCTCCCCATTGGCAAACTAGAGGCTTTGTACTAATCCATCTGTACCTCACCACCACAAGCCCCACCCCACCCTGGCCACTGTCAGCATGCAGGTATTTACAAGATGCCCAGCTAAATTTAACCAGTGGTGGTGGGATACAGTAAAGGCAACTGGCCCTGCTGATTATTAATTTTCACGTTGATGGTGACAGTGTGAATGGAGAATAATGGACAAAGAGGATAAATAGTGTTTTGAAGTCAATTCTGCAGTGCACTAGGTCTGTCTCACTTCAAGCGTCTTTTGAAACCAAACTCTCATGAAAGAGTATCTAAGGAAGGAAAAGAAAAATAAACAGCTCCTTACCAAGTACATTTACCAGAAAACAGTGTTTCAGTATTGATGAAGGTTTAGATTAGAATTTAGGATGATTCTACGCTATTAAATCCCTTAGCACTCTTCTCCTGTCCCTAAAATCTTTCATAATCATGCTGGTTTTTCATGACATCAAAAGTCAAAACAGTACAAGTTGCTTTTGGTATAAATGCTGGAAAGTATCTCCTATTACTTGAAGGACTATGAAGGATTTAGACTTCTACATGTAAAATGATCGTGGCCTCTTTTGTAGGCTTTGTAAATTGACCTTTTAGGGTATAACTTTCACAGGTCAGTTGGCCCACCAAAGTAATTAAATTAAAGATAATAGTTCCTATAATCTTTACTGAGTTTTAATGGAGTTTTATCCAGTGCATTTGAATGACTAGGATAAAGTATCATATTGTTGATTCCACATATTCCTTACTCCCCACCTCCACTCCAGCCTGCTTCTAGCCTTTGGAAGCAGATGTTTCCACTACCCTGTCACCATCCTGACACCATGTGTTCCTTCAGCTTCTGATCATATCACCCTCTCTTCATAACTCTGTAGTGGCCCCACATTTACTTTCTATGTCAAGACAAGCCTCCCACCCTCTGTGAGGAGAGCCTGCTCAAGACTAGCTTTCATTAGCATTTCATGTCCCTTTTCCTCCCCTCCACCCTTCACATGAAAACCATTCGTCATCTGAGTTTGAAAGAGTCATTCATTCACCTTTTCTTCCAAAATTCCTTAAGCTCTCTACTGCCTTTGTGGGTATAGGTATGGATTAAACGGTACTTAAAATGTACACAAGGTATTGTGAAACATAATGATATTTTATTATTTTTATTCTAGGTAAACACATTTAACCAAATTGCAAATTATATTGCTCTTAAAACTAAACAGAAAATCCCACCAGGTAAGACTTCTGAGGTTTGGTACAGTAGTTTGTCTTGATGGCCTCGTGTATACAGTCACTATAGTCAGTATTACACTTGCCACACTTACAGCTTACAGCAACAGGATAGGAAAAGTGAGGAGCGACATGGTGTGGGCATCCTGGTATTTCTACAGTCCTATAGATGATATCTCTATACGTACAAACATCCTGGGACAGGGCATATTTGGGAAGAAATAGCTTGCCATTGATATCCTGAGGAAAAAACATAAAAGAGAGCATAATGTGATAGGACTTTAGGAAATACATAGATAATGCAAACAAAAATAAATTCATTTATATTCCTTTGTCACAAATGCAACTGGGAAAGGATTCTTTGGCCTCATTCCCCAATATCAACTTAACATAACCACACTGAATCCTACAGAGACAAAAGTGACACCCTCCTCTCTTTCATCCTTGTTCATGAGAACAAGATATGGTTTAAATAAATTTGAGACATAAAACTGTTATCAAATTATCTGTACCCATTGTGCTGAGTAGATCCACATAATATTGTAACCTGTACACTCTACTTGTAAGGAGCCAATAACCATTAGACTGGGGAAATGAGGTTGTGATTTACCTCATTTCCGTTTTAGATAGAAATAGACTGTTTCAAGGTTTATGTAATTTACAGCTAAAAGAAATAAGATGAACTACATACCCGTGTCATACAATATCCAGCACAGATGGTGGTGTTGACGGTTAAGCAATAAGCACACTCTTTTCTTTCGACGTGCATTGTATACTCAGTTGGAATACAAAATGACATTGCTTGGCCACATGCAAGGCCAAAAAGCATGGACATCAGGAAGATAGCAGTCATGCTAGATCAAAGATAAAATTAAAGAACATTTTACATGTATCTTTTCAGGACATTCAGAAGGAACATTTGCAAAGAGCATGAATGCACACACACACACAGCCAATAATAACAATAATAGCTACTGTTTATGGAATGCCTACTTTGTCCTAGGCCCCATTAGGTGTTTTTACATATTATATTCTCCATAACTTTCCAATATACACTTAGATGTGGCTATGATCCACATACCCCATAGTGTAGGCGCTCGCATAGTGGAGATTCTGCTTGCACGTTCCACTAAGCACCACTGGGCAGTGAAATGGCAAGCCTGAAACACCGCAACAGAAAAATGG